AGTACTGAAATTAAAGACTAAAATGAAAAAAGGTCAAGACTCGTTTGCTTGGAGATCTTTATATTTTTCCATTTTAAACCAGATTGGATCGAATAAATCAGAATCGTAACTGAGTTAGAATAACACACTGAATACTATGGAACTTTTTCTCTGGTGTATGTTTTGTTTAAAAAATCCAAGATATTAAAGTTTTTTAAAAAGGCAACAAAACACACCAAGGAGTGGATATAAATGATATAAATAGATTAGTGGTGGTGCTCCATGTCAGATAAATTTGTAGAATCAAGATTTAAAAAAATGAGATAATTCTTGACTTTATTAGAGGGACACAATTCAATTTATGCCCCAAGTTTACAGAACTTTTTCTGTAGAAGAAGCAGGCAGGGACTGCCTCTGGAAGGGTCTCTGAGTGTTTGGGGCATCCCTGCTGCCCAATTCCCCATGAGGGGTCTGGGTCCCTCTCTTGCTCTACTAACACCCCTTGGCTCCCATTCCCAGAGGCTCAGCTCACAGTCCCCTTGCCCCAGCTGACAGCTGTCTTGTCAAGAATGCTCAAGGTCAGCTACCTTCTGTGGTGTGCACTTGGCCCCAGGAGGCCCAGTATCCATGCTTAGTCAAACCACATGCATGCTGTGTACACGTGTAGCTGGCATTTCAGTCCAATGGACTTTTTCCTGTCTGGGTAGTTGTGGGGTAGGTAAATAGACATCCCACTGTGAGAGGTGCCAGCTCCCCTTCCCCAGGCGCCCACAGTTTGGACCAGGGATTCTCTTGAACCCTAACTCACTCACCTTCATTCAGCAGGAGAAGGAAACACCTTCTTCCTCCAAATGGAGGGGAGGAAAACTAGCATGCTCCCTATGTCACAGCCTCATATCCTGCACAATTTTATCCCTTTACCCCCCCTGCCTCCCCGTCATTATTATTGAGCATTGAGTGTCCTTTACACTTATTAACACATAATCTGTACACCAATACAATAAAATACTTAAAAAACATTATTATTATTATTTATTTGTTTATTTATTTATTTTTTAGAGAGAGAGAGAGAGCACGCGTGTGGGGGGGGGGGGAGAGGGCCAGAGGGAGAGAGAATCTTAAGCAGGCTCCATGCTCCGCATGGAGCCTGACATGAAGCCCGATCAGATGGCCCTGGGATTATGACCTGAGCAGAAATCAAGAGTCGGACACTCAACTGACTGAGCCACCCAGGCGCCCCTGATAAAATACTTTTTAACAGGAAACTGAGACACTAAGAGGTCAAAAGCTTATGAAGGTCACAGAGCTAGCATGTGGGACACATAGGATTTGGAACTAGGCAGTATGGATTTGGGGTCGGTGTTCTTGGTCATGAAGCTTTTTGAAGTGGGGAGTGGGCAGGGACAGCTGAGGGGTGTGTATGGGGCTGGAGGCGATGGAACCAGGTGGCTGTTCTCTTAAAATGCCCCTGAGAGCATCTGGTCCCTAGTGATTGGTGATTTTCTTGAGAATGTGAAGTCTACTCAGCTTTGAGTATTTTTTAACTTCCAGAACAAGATGAAAGTAATGTTTATAGAATCCCTAAAGGCACTTGTTACTTTAGAAGTCTTTAAAAAAATATTCTGCATGTGGCAATATTTTAAAGCAGATCAGCCATGACTACATGGCATGAAGAACTCTTAATTTAAAAGAAAGCTATAGCACATTTGACACGTGGCTTTTCCCAATGTCCATGCTCAGATTGGATTTTTGATAGATTGATTGAGTTGTTACTTTTATGGTGGAGGTATTTTGAGTAGACATGGTTTTTCAAACTAAGGAGTGGAATTTAGGGAAGGAAGGAAGCTAAAGACTTACTAAGGCCAATAACGTCTCTGTTTTTCTCTTAACCACAAACCTTGGTAAATCATATTATTAGGCAATTAAGTTGATAAGTAGCAACAATTTCATTTTTAAAAGTCCGTGTATTAATTACCTGTTCATTAATTGAAGCACAATTTTGGAAACATTTTGCAATTCATGTTTGGAACCCATTTTCTGTTTGCTTTGGTCCTTGGAAGTAGTGAGGTGTTGACTTTATAACCGTCCTCACTAGGACTTTATTGAGTCATGTCCGGGGTTCAGTCATCCCAGCTGTAATCACTGAATTGGAGGAAGTCAACATCTCCATGGCTTTGGGTGTTGGATTCTTCTGTAATGAAGTGGGTGGAGGAACGTGTAGATGATTTTTATTTATTTAAAATCCCAAACAAGAAGTAATAAAATAAAAGGACTTAATGAATTCCTTTTGCCCCACAGGAAGGCACTGTCTCAGAACCTGGCCCACCTGATTCTGCTGATAACTCCAAAGGGTGCCTCATTCTGGAAGGTGAATCATGTTATAATAGTAAGTTACACATGTGACAGGGAGAGATGGCTCCTTGGTGTTATATTTAAGACAATGTTTTACCACTTTTTCCATCTATAATTCCTCAGCTATGTCAGATTAGTTCAACAAAAGAGCTCCACTTTTCTGATGAGGACATGGTCACCACACTGGCTTCTCTTGCCTTTGTGCCATTTTGAAGATCACATTCTTCAATTTTCCAGACTTTGGATTCAAGAAAAACTCAGTTTCATGTTAGCCTTAAGGGGCTGCAATGCTATGAGATGACTTCTATTCAGAAATACGAGCATAGCACCATATTGTGACATTAGTATTTTCATTGATTTGTTTGTAGGTTTCATGTGTGTTACAGGTTAATATCTATAATGCCACTAAACCAAGCTCCATTAGTTCTGCTCTCAGTCATGACTGATAGATATTAGTATCTTTTCACTGTCTTACTGGTCTCAGGATAAAGTTCTATGATTTTAGACTTAGTCTATGACACCTGTAAGTTTGGGACAGAATGGAACTTTGGGGACCAACCAACCTACTAGGCAACATGTGATTTTCTACATGACAGAATTAGAGTATACTCTGTAAATATTCAGTAAAGAACATTGCTGGGGATAAGGCACTGATTTTAATGAATAATTTTATTTATACATGTACATCTTAACCCATTTAAATGCATTGTGGTTATATTTTATTATGCACATCTTAAAACATACACAAAATTATAATTTTTAAAAAGATGAAGTAGACAAATAAATATAAATTGAAGCTCTGATCTTTTCTTCTTCCCTACGCTGGAGTATGTGCCTTCTGTGTCTTTTGGACTCCTCTGCAGAGGTTCACAAACTTAGATCCACCTTTCATATCGCTATGCAAATAAAAAAGTCAATATCATTATTCTGGAAAAATTTTTTCAGAGATTGCTTGCCCATCTTCTTGTTTTTTAGGCACAATCACCAGATTATTTCTAAGGTGAAAATTGATTCTATATAGTTCTCAAATTCCTAGATTTTGAAAGAACTTACTTAATCATATGTGGGAGTAGGGCTATCCCAAATAACTGGAAAAAACCTAGAAGTGGGTTATGTCACTCTGTGACTCATGCCCCTCTGTGTGTTCTTCTCTCTCCATGGAATCAAATGTTGACTTGAGAGCTGATGGTGCCCAGGACCTGGCAAAAATGTATCTCTGGCCAGGGCCCCAGTTCTGTGGCCTGAGTCACATGCGTACAAAACCTTGGGAAGGTTAGGTGTAAGACCAAGGTGTAATCTACTCGTAGGATCAGCTTTATTTGGTTAATCTTTGGCAGCTCCTACATGGCTACTTAGAATTCACGAGTAGACTGAACAGAAGGGACATTCATTTTTTCTTCCATGGTAATTTAAAGCCAACCTGAGAACAGCTTGTTCAAATGAGGAGTGGATAGGACATTTATTTAAATCAACATTGAGAGCCAGAGAGGAAACTTGTATGTGTCTAATATTTCCATTTGCTAATAATGTGTCTAGGCCTCGTTTCCATGGCTTCTGAGAGCTTTCATCCAGATTCCAGGCTGGACTGGGTTCCTTTGGGAATGCTTTCTCTGTTTGCAGATGGCCCTTATTCTGCATCTTTCTCTTCACCAAGACTGTTTGCTCCTACTTGTCCAGGGAGACATTTTTTTATTCCACATTTTTAAGTATAGCTAAGAAGGTTTTCCAGTATTTTCACAGACTTTCATTCGATCCCCATAATCTTCCAAGGCAGATTGAGTAGGTGTTGGTGTCCCAATTTTATGGATAAAGAAACAGCCCGTTCAAGAGGCTAAGTGACTTCTAACCAACATCAGAACTAGGAGAACATTGATCTTTTGACTTCTACCCCAAAGAATAAGAAAAATTATAGCACAGGAAGTATATTTGATTACAGCATTAAGCATATCCAGATTAATTCTAATGTATTTGTATTTTAGCTGAATATGTTGCAATTCATCTATTGCTGTCTGGAGTTCACTTAGGTAGAGTCACCTATTATGCAAATAAATGCCTTGGCTGTATTCTTATTCCTTTCCCCACAGAAGTAACCACCCTAGCACTGGGAAATTGATTAGGAGAAAGTAAAGTGATTAGCGATGTCTTAAGCCCCCTTTTAAATGAAACTCTTGTAGTAGTGTTGCCTTTCAGAAATGTGTTCTTCACTACAGAAAGCGTTTTGCTGTCTTGCAGAGGGACTGTGGAACTGTACATGATCCCTCTCACCACAAAGTGTCACAGAGATAAAATTGGTAGCTTAAGAGCCCAGGCAGCTAAGTGACATACGTCAGCCAACAACCAGCTTAAACATTCTTGGATCATTTTGCTCTACTTTATCAGGCAGTTTTTGCTTGGGGAGAGTGAAGGATTTCCCCTTTTGCTTCTTAACACAAGGTTTCTCTGACTCTGCCTGCTTTGGTATTTGGCTCTTTGGGCCTGGATCTGCCTCTTCACATTTGGCCTCTTTTTGTGTATCTACTCTCAGCTTCCTTTCTTCATCTCTTTCTCTCTCTCTCTCTCGTATTCTCTTTTTTTGTGTGTTTTTCTCTCATTGTCACCTTAATTTTCTATCAGCATGTCATATCACTAACAGATTAAAGAGTCTTAAAAGTGAGGAGGGGCGATGTGAGGGCGATCTGGCTGCGACATCCGTCACCCCATTGATGGCCAGGGTTGATTCGGCTGATCTGGCTGGCTAGGCGGGTGTCCCCTTCCTCCCTCACCGCTCCATGTGCGTCCCTCCCCAAGCTGCGCGCTTGGTCGAAGAGGACGACCTTCCCCGACAGAAGAGGACCATCTTTCGGTCAAGGGTATACGAGTAGCTGTGCTCCCCTGCCAGAACCTCCAAAGAAGCTCTCACGGTCCATTTGTAGGAGAACGTAGTCTAGCTTGCAAGAATCCAGACACATCCAGATGAGGTGCTGCACCTGGCAGTCTGCCTTTCTTAAAAAAAAATGATGAGAGGAAATTTAGAACAGCTTCCTTTTAGAATTTTTGGATCATTCTCTGTGTGTGTGTGTCTATGTGTTTGATTGAAATTTATTTATTTATGAACATGTTATTTCCTTCGTCCTAATCCCTAAATATATAACTGAAATACACGTGTGTCTTGCTCACCGTACCTCTCCTGCCTAAATGCCCTGACGCATTCCTTTGCCAATTACTCTGCAATTCTACATCAGATAACATGTATGTACCTAGTATTAGAATCTTAAAAAAAAAAAAAAATGGCTTGTGGCTGCATAGAAGGACGCCAGCAGGTGGCAGTCTCACCCAGTAGAAGAGTTGAGAATGGTTTCATTGTGGTTTTTCTTTAAGACCATTTGCTTATTTTTGAATGAACTATTGAAGGACCAAAGTTAGGTTCTTGTTTGTTTTTAACAAAACTCTGAGTTGGTTTAAAGGGAAAGTGGATCAACCGAACCCTGTGCCACCACATATCCCAAATGCTGTACTGATGGTTCTCTCATTAAAAACACAGCTATTGGGTTGAGATAGAATCTATTATCTGGGCATCTGAGTATCATTTAAATTTTCTTTTCTCTTGCCAGGTGGTTGATTCATGATAGAGAACAGAGCTCCAGTAGCGTGTTTCTTTGAATACGTACCGCAGTAGCCTAGCACCTGGAATTTTGGAATTAGTCATCACCTGCACCAACTTTTCAGATGAGAAAACAGATTTCTAGAAAGGATTTGTTCAAAGACTCACAGCTGTGGGGAAGAAGATGCGCATTAGGACTGAAATCAAGAGCCAAAGTAGTCGGGTCTTCAACAAGCCGGAAAGATAAGCTGTTATTCAAGTCTGGAGCTAATGGCCGTACTGTTGACCTTGGATTCTCTGGAGTCCATGAGGTGCTCTCCACAGCGTTGCCATGTTCAGATTGAGGGGGCAAAAGCAACATCAGGCTGGAGAGGCTGTCAAAACCTGCACTCATTCACAAGTGATTATCTTCAGTGTAATCCCCATAGCAACGTAGCCAAGTGCCTGCCCGTTGCTGGTTGATAAAAATGGTTATGCTAGAGAAGGAAGGAACATCCTGGGGACAGCTTGATTGAGGAGGGGCTGTTATGCACATCAGCTTGCAGACCGGCTTCTCTTTAGGCAGCAGCAGCCACGGCCATTTGAGATGGGCCTGTGGAGATTGTTGTTTCCATAATCAACCAGAAGGCACTTAGCCATGCTGCTCTGTATTTGGGGACTGACCAGCAGGCCAGAAATCACTCTGGTTTACTTTTTCTAGCTCCTGAAAGTGTTTAAAGATGAAGGACATCTGCCGGCCAATCCTTGCCATTTGCCATGTGGTTCAGTGAACCAGGGCAAACTGCAGGGCCCGAGGTGGGCGAACAGACGCTAATGGTGGTTTTTCCAAAGGAGAGGGCTTGCCAACCTTGGCCCAATGAAATCAGGCTTAACAAACCTGGGGACAAGCTCTAGGCAGGCCTCCCGAACAGGTACTTTGCCAGTGTTTCTAAAAGTGGTTTGTGAATGTTAAATAGTTTTTGTTTAAATATTTTTGTTACATGGCCCGACTCTAGAAAGCAGAGGATGAAGGTGCTTTTGATAGAGGCAAATAGAGAATATTCTAGTCTAGCCGGTTAATACTAGCTTGGACATGGCGGTGCATTGCTCGGATCTTTCTTCAAGGGAGAGCTTGCTGGCCAGATGTGGGGGGTGCAATGAGTAGACAGCCATAGTTATCTTATTCCCTTGTGTCTGTCTCAGCTGTGGAGAGCTGCCTTGCCCTGTGTCTCCCTCTGCTCCAGTCACTGAGGTGGGAGGGAGCTGAGAGCCCAGCCAGCCACCTCCATCCAATGCAGGCCACCCCTGAAGGGCTTTCCTTGCCAGAGCTCCCAGCTGGGTTGGCCAAGGCTTGTTGGGCCTTGTTGGGCATTGACATCCTCCTTTTTCCTTTGTCCAATTCAGCTTTGTCCCCTACCGTCTTCAGGTGTTGATCTCAAATCCATCTCAGCATCTGTTTTTGGGAAACCCAACCTGCCAACAACCAACCTATCTTTTCAGCTTGGAAAACTTTTGGGCCCATGAAGTAAATGCCTGAAAGTCTTTTGTGATAATTTAACTTTTCCATAGTATTTTACATAATAAAATGAAAGCCTTACCTTTACAAAGTCTCAGAAAGGAAAAAAAAAAAACTACCTAGTGCCAATACTGTAAAAACAGTTATAAATTGACTCTCAACATAGCCTACTTAATGACTTTTTTATAAGGGGAGGAGAAGGTTTCTCAATTCTTGATTTGCAAGCCTCCAAATAGCACACTCTGAAGGTTTTCACACCTGGTTCTTTAGTAATGAATTCTCCCAAGTGATTTCATGTGTTTCTACTTGTGCTTTGTGGCTTACCAACCTTCCTAGCTAGTTTCAAAAGGCCGGAGCATTGCCTTACTCTTGTTGGGGGTGGGGCCAGTGTTTCCTCCCTTATGATTTCCCGCCAAGTGGGCAGGGGGAACAGAGGAAGGTGGGGGAGATATCTCTAGGGCACCAGGCTGGACTCTATTGCCCTAGCAACCTTGTCCTAGAGATTGCTGGATTTGTACTTTACTCTTTAATTAACTAATTGGATCATTTGGAATTTAATGGACTCACTTAGGAAGAGACAAAATCTGAAGGAGTAAGTGACCTCCTCTTGAAGGCTGCCACAGGTCATGATCAGAGGTCATGAGTGATGGGTTCATGGTATTGGCAAATTTACTTTTGAGTTGATCACACGCTAGATGTGATCTAAAAAGTAATATATGTAAGCAACAAATTGGATTACATGAAATTTGAAAAATTTATAATTTAAAAGGTACAGAGATACAAAGCTACAATTCAGCCCAAGTCAGATTCAGAACTCTTTTTAATATGATAGGGCAGGGTGATACCCTGGATCACATTGGGGCTGGAGTTTGTGTGTTTGTTAAGGCTCAGATAACATCTTGTTCTTATCTATATTCCAGGAAGCATTCTTATTAGAACCATCTCCTAGAAGAAAGCAAGTTATATTAAAAGAGATTGAAACATGAGTCAGTTTTCAGTATTGCAGAATGATGAAAAATCAAATATATGAATCTGGGAAAATTTGTGAGGAAAGGTATTTAAAAAAAAAAAAAAAAAAAGGAAAAGAAAACAGATGACCAGGAAGGGTTGGTTTTCCTTTCTGGGAGAAAGCCATTTTGATAATAATGTATGGATATAGTTCTGTCACAAAGCTGTGGTTCAGGTTTTAGTTCATAAATTGTTAAAGCTATTTGGCTCACTCTAATTTGCTGCTCTTCAATTTCCACTAATAAGTAAAAAGAAAAAGTTAAATATTTCTTACAAAATAAAAGTCATTTTTCTCAGTGGTAATTTAAAGCATTCAAAAATATTTTCTCACAATGCCACTGATGGAAGAGTCTCAGAACTACACATTTTAAATTCTGATACATTTCCAGTATGTTTAACCCTGAAATGGAAATTGTCTGTTTAAACAAAGTGGTGCTACGTTAGATTTGCTCAAATTGGTGGTACCGGTGTTTGGTGTGTTGGGCGTTAGGTTCTCACAGCATCTCCTCAACAGAATTAGTGGCTCCCACCATGCGTTGGCTGGCTTCTTTGTTAGGTCCATTCTACAAACATCCAAGAACGTTTAGTCCCCACTGGCCTCTCTAGAGCAAATACTTTCCCCCTTTCTCATTTCACTTTCAGCTCTGCATCCTATGTTTTCTTTACGCTGCCATTAGTGTTCCTCTCCCCTATCTTGCCTGTCTTTTGTCCTATTATTTCTGGATTTTATTTGCCTTTTTGTGCAAATGCTTTTTTTTTTTTTTTTTTGTCTACTGAAAAGATAGCTTCCGGTGACACTTTTTAGAGGTCTTGATTGGACTTAATGCACATTTCAACTGCCAGTATTCTACTTAAAAAATGTTGTTGTTCAGTATTATGCTTTCTGAGAGATAGTAAGGTAGGAAGAAAAAGGACAAAAAATTTGGCAATTACCAAATCACAGGAAAATGTTCTTACTGGATCACCTGGGGGATATCCAGAACAGTTTGCAGAAGTATTTCTTCTCATTGTTTTTCTTTTTTTTTCTTCTTTTCTTTTCTTTTCTTTTCTTTTCTTTTCTTTTCTTTTCTTTCTTTCTTTCTTTCTTTCTTTCTTTCTTTCTTTCTTTCTTTCTTTTTTTTTTAATGCTTTGAGTGTCGGTGTTTAGAAGCTTTGAGTTCCTATCAAGGATGTTCTCATTTTGTCAAAAAACTTAAATTAAGTCTCTTAATTTTCTTTCTTAGATCTAATCACCCTAATGTCCAGATCAGTCATAAACTGTAAAGAGACCTCAGTCCTCTGTATATACCATCTCCTTTAGAATGCATTCATCAGAGATATTTGTGACTCTTCATAGCAGCAAAACACTGACATTAAGAAAGAGAATATCTCCCGAGGGCCCAAAGGAGCAACATGAGCCCAGGGGTTACCTGTCAACAATTTGAAATGGAAGAACAAAACTGAATGTACGAACGTAATACATTCGAAAGATAACTAGTGCTTACTGGGGCACTGGGTCTTCTGGAGTTGGAATGAAGAGTTCCCGTGCTCCAGACACACGGACATTTTTTCTTTCCCTCCATCTGGGCTGGTGGGATAGCTCATTCCACTGACTTTGATTTTAACACCTCTGGTAGTTTGACCTTTATCTTCTGATCTCAATGAACATCCTAATCGCTTTTCCTTCTGTTCATTTTATCCACCTTTAGAGC